TTAAAGCACAGTGTTGGTTGATTTTTTGTTTTTATGTGTCTAGGTATTATTGAGCCATGTTGTCTTCTGAAGTATATTGTGAGTGTCTAAGAGTGTTCAGCAATATTTCTTCAGCTCTGCTGATGTTTTTTTCTATTTCTTACTCCTTGGATGTATTCTGTTATTTGTCCAATATTCCTCCGCAATAATTCAATTTTCTTCAGCAGTCATTTTCCCATGGTACAATTCTGTTGTCAGTCCTTCTAATATTATTACTCTGTCGTGTTCTGATCTAAATGCCCATAATATAAGCGATTGCTGTTACTGCGCAGTAAATCAGCGTATACAAGTATTCCAATGTTTCTGCGACATAATTGGGTAGAACTTCAGTATTCATAATTTGTAATAGCGGATCTAGTTTCTTACATTAGTTTATTATTGGTAGCGGTGGTCTGCTAAGTGAATTTGTTCCAATAAACTCTCGTACGGCACCGTGTCATTTCGTTTACTAGACTATTACACAACTCGTTGTTGTCTCAGGTATTGTCTCAATTGTCATTTGTCCATTTCGTCATCCATTGTCTTCGTATTTGAATTACCAGATCCCTGTACTTGGCGATATTTTCGTTATATCTAACACGCAGATTATTGTTGTTAGGTATAGCCACATCAATTAGTGTTATTTGTCTCGTTAGTTTATTAACTAATACGAGATCTGCTCTAATATGTGCTACTGTTTAGTTTGTGAGCACAGTGCGGTCCCATTATAGCTTGAAGTTGTCATTTTCATGCATACTCTCTGGAACGTATTGATAATATATTAGATGATTTGTTTGGAGAAGTCCCAGTTTGATAGCTATCTCTTAATGAAGGATTCATTAAGAGAAGGATAAAGTAAGCTGCCCATATTAATCCTATTCTCCTGTTTAACTCTGTTGTTTGATTGTCTCTTCCTAATTTAATCTCGTGACTCAGGTACTTATAGGAATACACTTGTTTAATTTGCATTCCATAGTTGAAATGTTTTTGGACAGTACAAGATTAGTCATGTATTGTGTTTTGGAAAAGTTAATTTTAAGACCAACTCCTGTAAAACAGCTCTGAAGTTCTTGAGAAAGTTGGAAGGCATTATCTACCCGGTCTGCACAACAGGTCTGGTTTCCGACCTTTTTTTATGATGTGGCATTTCTTAATGACACATCATAACAAAAATAGAAATAAAAAAATTTGTAACAAAATAACAGAAAATGTTTGGAGTTAACCACTCTTATCCCTTACAGGTATGAAAAATAGATAACGACCGATTATCAGACTTACCGAATATACGTAGAAAATTTCATAAAAAACGGTCAAGCAGTTTTGAAAAAGTATGGCAACTAACTCTTCGACATTAATATGGCAATTTAATATAGGGGTTAGTAAAGTTAGGGTAAAAATTAAGAGATACATGTATTTGGTGTTGTGGGATACCCTTATAACTTAGGGGTATCAAAAATTGATAACAACCTATTTTAAGATCTACATGTAAAATTTCATCAAAATCAGTTTAGCCGTTTCAGAGCAGGAAGGTTTCACATGGCAACAACATACGGTATTCCCAATCCGTCAACTATCCAAGTACTATCAATATTGACATTTATTTTGTTTTGTTGTCAAAATAGAATTTTCAAACCTACAGAATACACGTGCAAAATTTCATAAAAATTGGTTTAGCCATTTCGGAGAAGTATGGCAACTAACTCTGCGACACTAATGTGGCTATTAAAAAAGGGGTTAGTAATATTGGGGTAAAAATTAAGGGCTGTATGTATTTTTAATGCCACATTATAAAAACATAAAAGTAAAAAATTTTGTTTAAAAAATAAAAAAAAATTCTTTGGGGTGAATCACCCTTACTCCTTAGGGGTAAGAAAAATAGATAACAAGCTATGGATATTTCTGTATAAAATGTATCCAAGTGCTGCTACGCCACTGGTAGCAATTAACTTACACGTCCTAAAATCTATAAAGTCTACCGAGGTATTCTCCAGCAAATTTTCATGAAAGCCGATAATGTATTCAAAAGATATTTTTACCCACAGATTAACTTTCTCCGATCAATTCCAAAAATTTCCCTGTTAGAAAAATTTAAAAGGTGGGTTTTTTTCTACCTCTTTTTAGAAATATCGAAGTTTCCCCTCCCCCGCACTGCCCTTAGCAATTTTTTGACATTGCAAACAAAATTTTAAGCAGTCGGTATAAAATTGTATCCCAGTTGATCTGGTCGCTTCTTGTTTAGAGGTTTGACTTTAGCATATTAGTTAGTTTTTAGTTTCGTATTTGATAAAATTCGATGCATTTCTGGTTTAAGAGTTTAGACTCTCGCGTATAGTATCTACATAGCATATAGTTAAAAGCTGAACGCTCATTCTTAATCAAGTCTATTAATATTGAAGAAAACAGTCTTAGTTGTGTCATCAAGTGCCGATAGCTATCGATCAACAGCGAACACTTGATGTGCATTCGCCCCGCCCACCTTACCTATTCTCTCAAATCTCATTGGTCTTTTAGTTTGGAATTCATGTGAAATATTATGTGTAAATATGAGTCGAATTCCAAGCCAAAGACAGTCAACCCCTTGAGCACCAAGTCGCCGAACCGAGCCGGGACTCAGAGCGGAGACTTGAGGCCCAAGTAAGTAATTTTAGTTCGCAGATAAGCCATATTAAGATAACAGGAATATAGCGGAGATGCGCTGTCCTGAGTTTTTGCATTCGGTTAGGAAACCATGTTGGGGTTCTATTACCCAGGACCTCCACATGAAGAGCATTTGGCTGATTGTTGTGCCTCTATAGCGCATCAGAGTGCTATAGGGGGAAAGAGATGGTCTAGACTGTCTAGAGCATTGGAGCACGGTGGGGTGACTCCTGTTTTTACTCGAGTTAACACACCTTGCTCCAATGAATTGTTACACCCGATCGTACTACCTAGGTGAACATTTCTCATAGGCTGGGTTCAATTAAATTGCTTTCTGCTTGCCAAAGACAGTCCAGTTCCTACCTCGGTCTCTCCTAGAGCTTGAAACTCTAGGGAGCCAATCACCGGGGCTCTGCTTCAAATTCCATTTCACCTTAGACTCTGAGGTTGTTTTGTTTACTATAAACTGTGTTTTATTTTCTACATTCTTCGGTGCAAGTGCACACAAGAAACCTGATATTTGTTCATGTAAGAAACTGACTGTCTTTATTTAGACAGTCTTTTCTGTAAGAGAAATTAACTGTGTCTTTTTCAACACATTAGTCAAATTCTCTTATAAGAAAACGAACTGTGTCTTTTTCAAGACTCAGTTCACATTTGATTCCACATCCTAAACTACATTGGATAAGTGCCTAGGGTATTTCGCAAGCTATACGCGAATATCCTAGTGCAGAGCGTACAGCGGAGTAGACGATTTTTTAGGTCTTACTTCCGTTGAGACGACAGTTGAAGTTATAATTAGTAGTAAAATTTTAATCTGTATCAGTGCTCGTATATTGTGTGGCTAGTGTAAGGTGGATAGTGATCGGCGGTTTCAATACAAGAACTTGCGCTAAAACTTTGGCTAGATATTAACTTAGTTGTAGTAACATTTGTAACGATGAGTCCAAGCCATCACCGTTAAACCAGCGTGCGCGCGAATCAACCCATGAAGGTCCCTGCTCGGGCGCCATTTGTGATGTCCTCTCGTAGGAGTCACTATCCGGGTAGCTTTAGACAGTCAGAGACAGAGTTCAAAACAAAAATAAAACTTTATTGTCTTCCTTAAATTAAATTGACAAAAATCTTATGTACATATTTACAATTTGGTTTAGTCTTCTCAGTACCTGGCCTATTTATTCAAATTAAGTTTGACCTTGTCATATGAAATTAGTTTTATCGGTAAGCGAATGTGTATTTGGAATTTTACGGGAACGTTGTATCGATTTAATAACAGCGGACGATAGGTACAAAGAAAGGAAAGGAACTCAACACGTCCCTTAAGTGATTCGGGTTAACAGGACACTCCTCGACAGTCTCAACACGACTGCTTCAGAGTATGGGTAGTGAAGAGCTCAACACGCTCTTCGGGTAACGGCGGTATGGGACGAAACAACTTGTGAACTCAACACGTCCACAAGCCGGGGTAGGGAAGAAGAGAACCTTCAGTCAACACCTGTCGATTCCCTCTCTATGAGGAAATGTTGCGGTTTATATAGCGGAGCTTGGTAATTAGTTTTTGCCCTTTCTACTGTCGATATACTCCTACTTCATGGGTTGGTTCGCGCGCACGCTGGTTTAACGGTGATGGCTTGGACTCCTCGTTACACATTTAATTATTAAACTACGTATTGTTTAAACTGCTTGTGTTCCTATTTCCCACGCCAGTGGGTGTTCCTTCAAGTTGGAAGTAATTACGTGACTTAGTACGCTCTAAATAGTAGCAAGATCACCATCCTAATTTGTTGGCTAAAAGTTCGTTTAATTCTACTAAACTATTCTTAGACCTACATGTAAAATTTCATCGAAATCAGTTCAGCCGTTTCGGAGAAGAAAGGTTTCACATGGCAACAACATGCGGTATTCCCAAGCCGTCACCCATCCAAGTACTATCAATACTGATACTTATTTTGGCAGAGAACTACGAACACATCTCTGGTCATAGTTTTTTTAGTTATAGTTTAATGCCATCTATTAGTTATATTGCGATTTATAATGAGAGAAACACTGTTTTTGAAGTCTTTCCGTACAAGTTTTTGAAAATTATCTTTTACACAAACATTCTCCTGATACACAACAAATAAGTTTTATTAATATAGATTATGAAATTAATTATAGATAGAAAAGTATTCAAAAAAGTGTGTAACTCTGCTTTATAAAATTTTATGTCTTAAATGTACTTACGTCATTTTAAACAAAGTACGTACACACTCCCTTAATAAACTTGAATATATTTAGTCTAAATTTGCTTACGGATTAATTTCTTATGACAATGTTGACAAAAACATTATAGTTGATTTGTAAGCCGACAGATGAAACATTTTGTTTGTTTATCTACAATAAATTACAATTGTCGTCTTAAACGATACCACAAGTTTACAGTTAAATAGACATCAAGCAGAGCATTGAAATGATGTCCAAACTTGTGTAAAAAAAGCCACCAGGACATCTATTTTTCATATAAAACATGTATATGATAAACGTCCTACTAATCGTAAGTATATTATTTTTTCTATAGAAAATTTGTGAAAGTTTTTATAATGTTTTCTACATTTTTAAATTTTAAGTAAATCAGGTTAATCTTGGTATGATTTTTTATTAGTATTAAAATTATTTTTCTTAACTTTACTACTACTTATAGATCATGCATATTTTATTGTTAGTTTAAAGTTTACTGAAGTTAATTTTAAAATTCGCCAATTTAAATAACAAATGTGAAAATGTGCATAGGGCTGTTGTAGACTCTGATTATTTTTTGGTTGGAATTTTGACAAATTTGAGGTAGTGTAGGATTATCAAAAGGATATACAAGAAACCTATGCCAAACAAGATAGTGCTACTGTGAGTAACATACAACAAAAGTTCTTGAAAATGGCAAACACTATTCAGGAAGCAACGTCAAAGAACATACAAAGAACAAAAAGATTTAGAAAAAACCACTGGTTCGATGACGAATGTAGAACAGAGTTGAAAAAATCAGATTTGAGATTAAAAAGATTGCAATTGCAAAAACAAGACGACCTAGAAAGGTATGCCAAACAACGAAAAAAAGTAACGAAAATCCTGAGGGCGCATAAAAGAAAGTATATGGATGATAAAGTAAAGCGTATTGAACAAAATTACAAGAAAAATGAAATAATCAATTTTTACAAAGAGGTAAAATACATTAACCCACCGGTACACGGGTGATAGTGTAATACACGTAAGAACGAGTTGGGTCTGAGAAGCCCAAAAATTAAACTAAGAATTTTTTATGTTTAATTTTGTAACAAGAGGTTTGCGTTGCAGTAAAGACAACTTACATACATTAAAACAAAATGAACTTTTATTATAATACTAAAACTAAAAATATAAAAAAATACGTACTACAATATGGCCGATGTTTAAAAAACACCTTGTATATAACTTATACAGTCATTTTATCAATGCATATGGGACAAACATGTACGGTATGTTCCAAGCAAATACATTTTTTACAATAGTGACAAATGTATCGAGTTTTACGATCTCTACAAAAAACACAATGCCCCTTTTATTTTGCAATTTCGCAGGTGCTTGTATTGGTCCAACATCACTGAGCTTAGCAGCAAGCCCTCTTATATGTCGTTGCAAATGAGGAGATTGAACTCTTTCTTTTGTATTGTCCATTACTAACTGAAGACCTAGTTCTTTAAAAAAAATCTTGTTTGTTTGTTTTTAGATCCAGTTTGTTAGTTCTCTGTATCACAAATGCATTTATTGCAGCAACATCAAGCAATCCATAAAAGACGACCATGGGCCAACGTTTTGTATTTCTTGTGGCAGTATAAGAACCTCGCAGTTGATCAACCGTGAACACACCACCTTTCGTAGAGTCCGCACCAAAGAGGCATTGGGGTACGAAGAAGCTGACAAAAGAAAAAATCCTGAGTGGTGGAACGAAGAAGTAGGAAAATTAATTAAAAACAAAAAAAAGCTTATCAAACATGGCTATCCACGAAAGACTCAGAAGACCGTAGAATTTACAGCAGACTCAACAGGGAAGCAAAGAAGGAAGTCGCTAAAAGAAAAAACGAAATGTGGGAAGAGAAATGCGAAGAGATGGACCGATGCTTAGGAGGAACCAAAGTGACACAAGCTTGGAAATTCATAAAAAGTATTAGAAAAGAAAGAAAAGATGAGGGAAATATAAACCTGATTCAAAATAAAAAGTGGGAAAAATATTACAAAACGCTATTAACAGAAAGTAGGCACGAATTTATGGAAAGACCTGACCATATCTCAATGACAGAAAACTCAGAGGTGCATAAGATAAACAAAGAAGAACTGAAAAAAGAATTGAAACAAATGAAAAATGAAAAAACACCCGGGCCTGAAGACATTCCCATCGAGTTGGTGAAACATGGACCGGATGCTCTTTTGGAAAGCTTAGTGAATATTTTTAATAAATACTTAATTGAAGGCCAAACGATTCCAGACGATTGGAATTTGGCCCACATTAGCCCATTTATAAAAAGGGAGACAGAAAAGAGTGCGGAAATTATAGAGACATTAGCGTAACTAGCTCGCTGGGAAGGTCATATGGTCGTATAGTAAGATCGTGCGTGGACAACACATTTACCCTTCAACAAGTAATTGAAAAACGAACAGCTCGAAACCTCCCTACGCATCTGGTATTTATAGATTTGGAGAAGGCTTATGATACAGTTCCTTTAAAACTCTTATTTAGTGTCTTGACGAAGACGGACCTTAGTAAAACACATCTAAAAGCAATACTGAACATCTATAAATGTCCTCAAAGCACTGTAAAAACAGGAAATACTTTCTCAAGGGTATTTACAGTAACGAAAGGCTTGAGACAAGGATGTTGTCTTTCCCTCACCCTATTCAAAATATATATCCAAGAAGCACTGCACCAGTGGAGACAAAAATGTGCGGGAATGGGGTTGAAGCTTAACAACCATTATCTGACAACGCTGTTCTTTGCAGATGATCAAGTACTAATTGGAAGCTGTGAAGAAGATGCAGATTATATGCTTAGAAAGATCAAAGATGAATACGAAAATTGGAGGATGAGTATGAATATGTCAAAAACAGAATATATGCGAATAGGCAGTGAAGACGAAGACCCGGATTTGGAAATTAGACAAATGAAAAGGTGCTACGAATACAAATATTTGGGAAGTATTATCTGCAGTAAAGGAACAACGGAACGAGATATAGACTATAGAGTGCAACAAGGCAGGAAGAGTGTTCAAATTCTGAATTCGATACTGTGGTCCAACAAAGCTACTCTGAGAACTAAAATGACAATCTACAAAGTAAATGTAGAGCCCATTCTTACATATGGAGCAGAATGATGGCAAATGACAGTAAAAGGAAAGAAAAAAGTTGACACGGTTGAAATGGACTACCTGAGAAGAGCTTGCCGTATATCAAGAGTAGAACGTATACCTAATTCTGAAATTAGAAGAAAACATAGATAGAGTACATACAACTTCTGAAAGAATAGAAACTAGACAGTTAATATGGTATGGACACGTACAGAGGATGGACGACAACAGATGGCCAAAAAGAGCTATGGAATACAATCCAAGTAATAGAAGGAAACGAGGAAGACCAGCCAAGTCTTGGATACAAGGTGTTATGGAAACCATGAAAGACAGAGCCATTGATGAAGACACCTGCAGAGATAGAAAAAGATGGCGATCGAAATGCGAAAGCGGCAGAAGCTGTATAATAGTTTATAGTTATATATATATATATATAAAATTTTTCAAAATTATATTATAATTTCAGGGAAACATTTATTAGATAAGAACATTTTTATAATAATTTTTTTGAAAATATGTAAGAAGCAATTTTATTAACCAAAACTCATTTTATTTAGTGAGTTAACAACAATTTTTTTCTTTGTAGTTCAACTTGGTAAGATATTTTGTATTTTTCAGCAGCTCTTGATAATAATTGTAAACACAATTGAAAGCTCGAGATAAAAAATAGTTAACCAATAGCCCCTTTTATTGACTCCAACCATCAAAATAATATTATATATTTAATACATATATTATATTATATATATATATATATATATATATTATATATATATATATATATATATTATAGTATATATATTGATAGTATTAGAGAGAGAGAGAGGGAGAGAGAATTGATACTTTTTGTTATTGCTAATATTATTACATATATTAACTTGTTCAAATGTTTAAAGGTTTTCCTGTGCACCGGATTATCTCATGGATATTTTAAAATTATAGCAGATGATGGGGATTTAACATGTAGACCTAGTGGTGTGGAATGTCTAAACGCAAATACTTTTACCACTTGTTCGAATATCGGCAGCGTAACATCTTTACATGCTATCTTGCGCTGTCCTGATGGCTATCACTGCGATGATTCTACATCTATACCGTAAGTAAAGTGTGGAATTTGTTTTGGTTTAGGCAAAATAAATGCAAGTGGAATAAATAAATAAATTATATTAAGCTTTTCAAATAATGTTTGATGTTTCGATATCCGCTCCGGAAATCGTTCTCAAAAAAATTCGTTTTCCGCAAATCGCCAGGAAATTTTGACATTCCTGTCAAAATTTCTTGAAGAAAAAGTCAGGACTTCCTTACTGTAAGGAAATGTCATTTCCTTACTGTAAGGAAATGATATTTCCGTATCAGTTGTTTAGTGTTCTACATAAATGATAGAAAACACATTGCTTATAAGGAATTAATTTATATTTTGAAAACATCAAGTCATTGCTGAATACATTTTTAAGATCAATTTGTTATATTTACAGTAATTTGAAGATTAGTACAATTATTGAACATTGGAGGAACACTCTTAGAACTATGAGAAACATTTTGGACAACATGCAGGGTGGAAGTGTCATTTTGTTGAATATTTTGTACTGTGAAAATTTTATTTGCCACCTCAACCTTATTGTTAAGCGATTCTTCGATATATCCTTCAGCAACGTTTGATGACTTCCATCCGCCATGCCTCTTTAAACTAGTTATGTCGGCACCAGAGTCAACCAATATTGTTGCAGAAGACCGACGAAAGCAGTGACCAGTATATTCTGTGGATTTACCAAGTTCAAATAAGTAGCAATTATTTTGGGCATTTTTCTAAATTGATGAATTCCTACAACTTGTCTACAACCCTTTCCGCTTTGATATTTAAAGAAAAATTGGTCACTGTTCATATTTTCTAGTCTTAACGAAACATACTTTCGATAAACATTCAAGTAGATCTGATTAATTACAAATGATCTTGGTTTGTTGGTTTTCGAATCAGGTATGCTGATTAAAAGCGTAGATTCTAAGTCTTCTATATCGTGTACAGTCATTCGGACTAACTCATCCATTCTACAGGCCCCAGAAATACCAAATATTACAGCCACCTAAAAAATAAATAAAGCTATAATCTAAATAGAAATTAAAACTTGTTAATTACCTTAATCATTAAATTTTCTTTATCTGGAGCTTCCTGGATAAATTTTTCAATTTCTTCCTTCGTTAAAATCTTAGATTTCTTTGCCCTATAACCTTGAGCTTGCCGTTTCAATAAAGAACGAAGTTTTTGAGTATGTAGATATATCTACATTGTGTTTAAGTGCAAGGGTTGACTTCATGCATTAAATAATTGGGCCATAATGTTGAAGATTTCATCTTTAAACAAAGGTCTAGGAAGTATGCCATTACAACATTTTCTGAGAAAGAACTCGTATTTTTACTTATGCGATAATCCATAAAACGTCTGTATGCATTTTCGTACTTTTCTCTTGATTTCTTTGGCAATAATTCTAATGAAGCAGTATTCACTGCCTCAACCAGCTCTGGAGGAGTCCCAGGAATGGAAATTTCATCATCACTTATCATTTTACTTTCGAGAACACCAGAAATTAAATTTATAAGCGTCAAGTTTGACAATTCAACCTCAATACGTTTCCATAGTAACCCAAGTAATTTTATTAGGAATTTCAAAGCACCATTTATTTGGGAATAAAATTATCGCGTTTTTTTTAAATCAATCAATATCTGTCGAATTTTAAACGATTTGCGGAAAAATAGTATGTTTACCTCGTAGGAAAAGCCACATTCCTGGACTCTGTGTTGCTAAGTCTCGGCTTGCGCCTCGACTTAGCAATCTTCACAGTCGTCCAGGAATGTTAAGCTTTTCCTACCCGGTAAACAATGTACTATTTTTTAGAACAATTTTGAAGTGGAAATCGAAAAGTCAAACGGTATTTTGAAAATGTAATTTTTATTTCAATCATGTCAATGCAAATTGTACAATGAGGAATTTTTAAAGAGACAAATAAGAAACTATGTTAAACAATAATATTATGTTAAAAATAAATATCACAAAATTAAAAAGCAAAACTTGAGGAGTGTGATTTACAAATAAAATTGAATGCTAAATTTACTTGCATGGCAATAAATATAGTCGTTGAAGGAGGTTGTAGGTGCAGCTGAGGAGTGTTATTGGGCTGTAGCTTTGTGGTTGGTCTGTTGGTTTTCCTGGATTTAGTAAGGATATTTATTTTTGATTTTTTGAGCTTTCTTGGGATGGGCTTGGCCATCAAGATATTTGAGATGAATTTGAAGAGCCACCTAATTACGATTTTACGAGTAAGGATAAAAAATTTTGGGTGTCTGCTGTCAAAACATGAGATTTTTCTGGTTTTATATCTTTTAGAGCATGTGACAACCTTATGTGGGAATTTTATAGCAACCTTTCTGGGTTGCTAGGATGTTGTTCTTTGTATTCGTGTAGTGTTAATGTATTTAATAACTTTGTGGAAATGCCGACGATGTCATACACGTGATGGTATTTGTTCTTCTTCTTCTTGTAGTTCCTTCTCCTATCGGAGGTTGGCTATCATCACAGCTATTTGTACCTTATTGGCGGCTGCTCTGAAGATCTACTGAGCTGCAACTATTGATATGAAATCTACTGATATACAACCTATTTGTTAAAATCCACGAATACGTCCTCTTCTGTGTAAGCTTTCTAATTCAAAATGCGTTTCCTGCAGAAGTACCAACGACATCAATGCTGTTTATTTGATCGCTTGGTTTCGTTTACTTCCATGTATGTACTTCCATGTTAGGAGGAGTTCCTAATAGATAGACTAGTAACCAGGTTTTTAGATTAGTTAGCCGTGATATAATCACGTTTTCTAGTGTGCACCACGTAGTGCTATTCTACTTTGCATCTTTTTTCATACTTAGTTTTTCAACCATTCGTCGTTTATTAATATTTCTTTATCACGCACTTCCAGATCGTCCATAAAGACAAATGCATAACAAATGTTGAATATACTAATTGGCACAGATAAATAGATACCATATATTGAGAGAACTATACTTATAGACATGTATGCGCAAATTCCAATAATTGTGGAATATGTAGATCATAAATATGTATCCAGTCAAGATTTGTCATTATAGACAATAATCCTTAACGTATAAAAATCTAGAATTTCTACGAACAATCTAAACAACAAATTCTATATAAACAGTTTAGTAAAAACCTATGTATCGCTTAACAGATTTTAAGGTAAAAAAAAACGAGAATATTAACGTAGAGACTAGACTTTGTAATTTAGAAGAGAAAAATACAAAAAGAACGGCGCGTAACTAGAAAAATTAAGTAGTAACCAGAGTAACAAAAAAACTACTTCATCCAATTGTACGTTGTTTAAGGTGTCAACCATCCACAGAAGCATCAACAACAAGCAGTACAGTCGCTAGTACGTCCACTGAAGTTCCAAGTAGTGCATCAACCACAACTGAGAAGACGAACTCACCTGTTTCAACGATAACTTGTAAGTATTCTACAAAATCTATTACTTAGTATATATATATATATATATATATATATATATATATATATATTATATATATAAATTAGTATTTCTTGGGTTCACTAAGTAATATTAAATTTGAAACTAGATTTTATTGTGCCATTGAAATCATCGTTTCGGTAGGTAACCCTTGCCTTTGTCAAGATTCTAAAATAACGGAGATTCTATAAAAACGTACTAAAACGTAAAGCGAGACACTGACATTAATGAATTGACATAGAGTAAAAATTTTGTTTACTGCCATTAATATATAATTAGATATGTTTACATTACATGGACATATCGTTGGTGCTTTCAATAAAGGTAAAGTGGGTATATGTTATAACTTTAATAAGAGAGTTTTTCGGTGTTATATTTATTATTATTTAAATCAGATTGAAATATGTTTTATTTAAATTTTTTGCATCTTTTTCGTCATTGATTGCGTTAGTGTTTCTTTTTGTTTTTATTGATTCGTGTATCCCCCTCTTCTCTTAGTTTTGTTCTGTTTTTAAAATTTTGATGTTTTCGAAGTCAAATTTATACTTTTTGTCACTGCCATACTTTGTGAGCGCAGTGTTCTTCTCATATTTGTGAGAAAGGACTCTGGATTGAAGCAGTTGAATGTTTGCCCAATATAAAATCCTTCACAGTTAGTACAAGGTATCTCGTAAACAACGCTTAAATATTAATAAAACTTTTCTTCAGAAACAAATGTTTGTAATTAATTTTCTAGACAAATTTGTTTACAAAAACTAAATATTTACTGGCTCTCAAATTATTTTGAATAATTGTTTTCATTTTTAATGTAAACTTGTTTTTTACATTGTTATTTATCTTATTTATATAATGTATTATTGTCGGATCTGTATTAATAGTAATTTGTATAATTAATCAAATATAAGTTTATGATGATCTGTAAAAGAAAAAACCTTTTATACCAACATTTAATAAGGTAGGATTAACATCGATTAGATGAGTTTATGATTTTTTTTATTAATGTTTAAAGGAGTAAAAAAGTTAGAACTATTATTGCAGAAAATAAACGATATAAAAATTAGATCATTATTTTACTCATAAATAATAAACATTATGAAGGCTATACTGTGATAAGTATAGTTTACAGAATTCAAAGTTTTTATCGCCTGTATTTTCCCACATTCGCAAGGTGCGTCATTTTAGGTCTTTATAGACCGTTTTATTCTAACGTTGATTCACAAAGGCAGCATTGGTGCACAATTGCACAATTTTCTAATTAAATGAGAATTTAAAGTCGAAGTAAATTAATAGTACTACATTGGCACAAAACATTAAGTAAATGGAATTAGGCAAAGATCTGTAAATAATACTACATAGAGTACAAAACATACTACAATACAAGTAAATGGAACTTCTCAAACTTTTTCAAAGAATTATTCACATTTACATTCACTTATGAATAACATCAAAGCTTGGTTATGGGTCAATCGTTAACTCTTTTGCAAAGAAAACACAACTTTTTTAACTCAAAATTATACAAAATACATCATTAAGAAAAGCTACAGAAGCTTTTTGTACCAGTACGATTGAAAGTCTACATATTTAACTGGTTTAAAATTCCCCATCTTTAAGATTCAGAAGAAAGTATATTTCGTTAGCTTAATTGCCAAGCCTTCAAGCGATAAAGTCGCATCCCTCTCTTTATTATAACATTGGGGAGCGTTTCAAAGAAACTTACATTAAAAACAATGGGACATATCCTCCATTCTACGAGAGAATTAGAAGGTTCTTATCATCTCATAGTATCCAAAGGTTCTAGTTTCAGAAAAGTGTTCATCATCATCATCATCAATGGTGCTACAGCCCTATGAAAGAGCCTCGACCTTCCCAAGTCTATTACGCCAGGCAGTCCTATCCATTGCCAACCGTTGCCAGTTTGCTGCGCCTATCTTTCTACAATCCTCATCTACACCATCCTTCCATCTGAGTTTTGACCTACCCTTTTTTCTGCTTCCCACGGGTTGTGACATAAGGATTCTTCTAGAAGGGTTGTTCTGCTGTGATCTTGCTAGATGTCCTGCCCATCTTAATCTTCCTATTCTTATAAGAGATACTACGTCTTTACCACCAAATATTTGTTTATATCTGTGGTATACCTCGTAGTTGTATCTCCTCCTCCAAACACCATTTTCACAGGTGCCACCAAATATTCCTCTCAGGATCCTTCGTTCAAATATAAGCAAAAGGTCTTCGTCTGCCTTGGAGATGGTCCATGTCTCCGATCCATATGTCAACACTGGCTGTATAAGGGTTTTGTATATAGTTATTTTTGTTTTTTGGCTTAAGTTTCTACTTCTCATATGTCTACTCAGTCCAAAATAGCATCTGTTTGCCACTACTATCCTTCGCTTGATTTCTTCCGTTATGGCGTTCTCTTTGGTGATCAGGGAGCCTAAGTATGTGAATTTGTCAACCACTTCAAAGGTAGAGTTATCAACCGTGAATTGGAGACCGATGTTCCTGGCTCTATTGTTGGATGTTGATCTTAGTTTTCTCCTCATTTACTTGCAGGCCCATAGATTTTGAGGCATTTGAGAAGGTGGTATACATTTCTTCTAGCTTGCGTGTTGTGCGGGCAACTAGGTCCACATCATCTGCATATGCCAAAATTTGGGATGATTTATTAAAAATATTTCCTCTGTTGTCTATTCGGGCATCTCTGATCGCCTTTTCCAGTGCTATGTTGAAAAGAAGACACGCCAGCGCGTCTCCCTGTCGCAGCCCAACATGCGTTACAAACGCCTGTGATTGTTCGCCCTGTATTTCGACTTTGCAAACCACATTACGCATTGTAGCCTTAACCAATCTTATCAGTTTATCGGGGATGTGGAATTCATTCATTGCTTCATACAATTTCTTTCTTAGGACACTATCATAGGCAGATTTGAAGTCTACAAAAAGATGGTATGTATCGATATTGAATTCATTGGTTTTTTCCAGTATTTGCCTTAGCACAAAGATCTGATCTGTTGTTGATCGACCAGGCCTAAAGCCACTTTGATATTCCCCGAGAAGTTCCTTTGAATATATACTTAGGCGACCATATATGATCCTCGAAAATATTTTGTATGCTGTATTAAGGAGGGTTATTCCCCTATAGTTTCTACATTCCAATTGGTCACCCTTTTTGTGTAGCGGGCAAACGATTCCAATACACCACTCTTCCGGGATTTGTTCCTCATTCCAGGCTCTCAGTATTATTTTATATATTTGATTAGTCACAGAAGCACCTCCATATTTGATAAGTTCCGCGGGTATACCATCACTTCCTGGAGATTTATTGTTTTTTAGGTGTTTTATTGCATCTCGTACTTCTTGAATTGACGGAGGTTCTAATGGTGAATTGTTGCTTGCTCCTCCGGGTGGTTGATTTGGATCTGGATCTTCTACTTCTATAGTAAGTAGTTCTTTAAAGTGTTCCACCCACCTTTTTAGTACTTCTTCTTTTGTATTTAGTATATACCCCTTCTTATCCTTACATAGTCTGAGCCTTGGTTTGAATTCCTTTCTTGCGTTATTCAGAGTTTTGTAGAATTTTCTTGTTTGGTTTTTCTTTTTTAATACCTCAAGTTCTTCCAATATTCTATTTTCGTGAGTTCGCTTTTTCCTTCTATGAATGCACTTCTCTTATTTTCTGAGATCTTTATATTTTTGCTGTTTTTCTCGGGTTCTTCTTTGCTGTATCAGTTTATATGCATCGTTCTTTCTTGTTGTAATGTCCTCACACTCAGCATCAAACCAGTCATTACGTGGTGATGGTCTTTCTGGCCCTAGAATATTATTTGCTGCCTCTTTAATATTATTTATACACATTTCTCATTGTTCACTAATTGTTAGGTCCTCATGAATTATGTGTTTAGTTTCGATATAGTTTTGAAACCTTTCTTTAGAAAAGGTTTAAAAAAAAAGAAAAGTGTTAATAATGAAAATCATTGGACTCGTTACTGGTAGGCTATAAAGGACGACTATTTAAGACAGTCTTTATTTGAATATATAACGTATTATATTCTTCATACGTTAAAACTTGTTCACCTATTACTTACGCTTTAAACCATCCACCAAAGTGGAAAGCTGCAGGAGAATTTAAATGTAATGTAATGACGTCGTTTTTATTCATAAAACTAAATATCTCCTAGATAGGATTTTGCGCCTTCAAAATTCGTTCTGCAATCAGAATAAATAACAGATCAGTGTCCTCGACGTACTATAAAATGTCTGAATGGGGCAGTCAGATACCAATCTAAGTACAACTCCTTAGTGGCAAAACATAAAAACAGGAAATCTAGACTTTGGTTCACTTAGCATTTTTAAGCTTATTGGTTCGTATTATAAAAGGATCTCCAAAGTCGACGTAAACGCAAGAAAATAGAATAATCTTGAACATATCTACCAAAATGCCACAGTTAGCGTAAGACTATCTAAACAAGAAACAAATAAATTTTGTATACAGCGTGGAGTACGGCAAGGAGACACCGTCTCACCAAAGCTATTCACGACACTTTTAGAACATACTTGTAAGAAGGCAGATCTGATTGTATGGCAGATCAATAGTAACGTTAATGTGCAAAATTATATCTTATATAAAGATTAACTTAAACAAAATGCAAATAATAACTAATCTAGTGTTAAATCGAAATATTGCTGTTGATGAAAGATATATTGTACAAACGGCATTATATAAAAACTTTGGACATGAAATTCGGTTGGGAAGAGGTAACCAGATAATTATGTGAGTTTACAAGTCGCATAGGATTAGCCTGGGCAACGTTTGGTAACTTAAAGTAAAATTCTTTAACCAGTGTGTGTTACCTTTAATCACTTATGGAGCGGAAACATTAGCACTCACAAAAAAAGGAAGTGAATAGGATTCGCGTAACTCAGAGGGCTATGGAGCGCTAGATGTTGGGTGTCTCTCTGAAAGAACGAATCCCAAACGAAGAAAT